GATTTAATTTATTATTAATTAATTCCAGCTATACAGTCATTAGCCTACATGTTCATGTGTAGAGATTTGGTGGGGCTAGGAGTAATTAACAAACACCTATATCACGTTTTTGCAAATTAAAGTAATAACGAGGTTTAAATGAAAGTTTATCTTAAATATAATTAAAGACGTACAAATAGACGTGAAAGAATATAATGGTCAATAAAGTTATCGAATATTCCTTACTGGTTTTAAATGACATTTTATACAGTGTTATTTACACAAACCAAGAAAGGCCAGAGCTCAGCATTCCATCGCCATTCAATTCCACAAGCTGTCGCCTCTCTCATACGAATATGCGAAGCTGTTCTGAATTTCTAGCGTATTAATAAAACGGGCTCTATCGAGAGTTAACGCTGAAGCTGTCCAATAGCCTTTGTTAAGACAGTCAAAACAGCAGTCTATGGTCGTGTCCTCAGATGTTTCAATAAGACCGATTATGATACCTTATTTTCGGGGAAATAATAATAATAATAATAATGAAATGTAGCCTTTAAAATATTTTGTCGGCCGAAAAACAAAAAAAACTCAACTTCAAGCTTCTGAACAGGAAAATAAGATAAAAAAACATTAAACTAGGTTATTATTATTATCATCTGTAATATGTAATTATAAGATTAAACGCCTAATCATTGCAATACATTATTATAGCCTATGTTATAATTTAATGAATAGTTATATAATTAGTGAAGAGTCATGTTTTGATTTATAATGAAATAATAATAATAATAATAATGAAATGTAGCCTTTAAAATATTTTGTCGGCCGAAAAACTAAAAAAACTAAACTTCAAGCTTCTGAACAGGAAAATAAGATAAAAAAACATTAAACTAGGTTATTATTATTATCATCTGTAATATGTAATTATAAGATTAAACGCCTAATCATTGCAATACATTATTATAGCCTATGTTATAATTTAATGAAAAGTTATATAATTAGTGAAGAGTCATGTTTTGATTTATAATAGCTCTAAATATCTTGAAGTAGTTTCATTTGGCTGCTAACGCTGCACCGTTAAAAGTTTACAGGACCGAAGATGACGTTTAACAGTGATTCTGACGTTCATCCGCTCGCTCGTCAGCTTACTTTACGTAACGTGCCTTATTTAAATAGCAGAGAGGGCCACGCCCCCGTACGCGAAGAGCGAGCGCACTGTTCCTAACAGTATCATGCAAAACATTCCACAACAGCATGTGCCGCGTGGGATGCCATCCATCAAATTATCCACCCCCGGCATACACACAGTTTATACTCTAGAAATGACCTCTGTATCAAAATATTAAAATAAACACTTTGCTTAAGTAACCAATGTTTTTTTTATTCTTCTTTGCTTTTAATAGAATGCTTTCTCTTTATATATATACTCTCATAGAAAAAAAAATACAAAAATGTCAAGGGGCAGTACCCTTCCAAAAGATACTAATAGTAATTTTAATATGCATTTTAAAGCACCATTTTGGGGGGGGTGTATATATATATTTTTTAAAGGAAATATATATATACACACTCATTATGTATGTATGTTCTACATACCTTCCCCCTTATGTCACCTTAGTCTTTTTAACCCAATCAACCTTTTGTTTTATTTTTCTCCCTCTGTCCATCCTCAATAAATGCAGATCTTCTGGTGAGGACTTTGTCAGCCCAGCAACAGAGTGCTTGAAGGGACATCCTATGCCCTTGTATCCCGTCTGCTTGCAAATCAAGGTAAAGGATATGCAGCTGCACAAAGCACACTCAGTATGTGTTAATTATCCATTTATATTTGCAAGAACTGTAAAATACATCAGGCTGCAAGTCCATAGCAAAGCATGACACTCTGAAGTCAGTGGAGCTGACTGTGGTAAAATGCACTTAACTATTGAATATTTTCTTATGCAATGGACAGAATGTAATATTAGTCTTGAACTTAGATTGTAATGGAGGTTAGCTGTATCATGTGGACAACATGGTTAAAGCCTTTATTCTGCTAAAGTTGTTTCAGGCCTTCAGGACAAATGCAATAAACAATGTAAAGTTAGAGCTCTACCTCCCTCTACTGGTACAAACTGATGTTAAAGAGCTGGTACTTTATTGCTATAGGCAATTATCATAGGTCTCATGGGTTAGCTTGCTCTCTTGTTAGAGGTATTGTGGTTTCTGTTGTTCTCGTAATGAATATGCAGGCAATATTGTATCGACATATTATTAGACAAAGCAAAAATGTAAATATATTTTTTTAAATGAGTATGCCCATATAGGCCTAGCATAGTGTCTAACCCAGAACTGACAAATCGGGTTATTGCTCGAAAAGAATGCACAACATAAAGGTCCGGGTATATCAGTAGGTGACCTTTATGCCAGTCCACTTGAAGTGAGCAGATGCAGCTGATACAATATCACATCTCATACCTCACAAAGATATGAAGGCCTTGGGCTGCTTGATATGAATGTATATGTATAAAATATAAAAGAAGCCACTCACAAATGATAAAAGCAGTTTGTTTATCATCCAGATTTCTTGGCTCTTGTTCAAAAATCATGTTGAGCATCTGGGAGCTTACATTTAATTGATTCTCCTGCATAATTCACACAGACTTTGACCACCGACAAGCTCTCAATGCTTACAAATAGGCAATACTGAAATAACCAGCAGATGTCGTCGTTAATTCAACTGTCTGGTATAACCAGTTGAGTCATCTGTGATTTGAAGTGCGTGCTCTTGTGTACGTGAATGTGTCGTAGTATACTTATGGGTTTTGTTCTAAAGTGAGGTTCTCAGAAAGATAACTTTTTAATATGGATTCGAGGTCAAGGGTAAAAACAGCATTGGGGGATTTAAGGGCTCGTGGCAGATGGTTGTCAATCCCAGTAAATGAACACAAGTACTCTAGTCTTTAATTTAGTTTATCCTAAGAACCAGAGAGCCTGATATATATAGGCTACTGACCATTAAACAATTACAGATGAACTTCATGTCCCGGCGGATGTAAAGCGAACACACGGTTTGTGATGTGATCTGTATAGATGAATCTCCTAAAGGTTCATTTGACTTATTTATATATTTTTTGTCAGTAATAGAGAATGAATTAAATTGAATTCCCTGTCAGATCGCGCACTAAGATAGCGAAATTGCTCGACCGCATAGCGAGCACATCACGTAGTTTAGTCTATGTGGGCGTTAATTTGCGAGAAAACATGATTTGGCTCAATGTAGTTTCAGCACCGTGGTCAGAGCTCGACGAGAACAAAAGGCGGATTAGCGTCCTTGATATCAGGCACCGTCGAAATGTTACATGCAAACCTAAAAAACGAAAACTCGAATAAACCAGTAGCGAACCGTAACCCTGTTCATCTGAGTGTACATTTCCTATAAGTAAAACGTGTTCGTTTGTTTGAAGAACATTTTTTTTTTAAATTTTTTGCCATATTTTGTGTGTTATTTAACGTAGCTCTTCAAGAAGGAACGTGTGACATTATTATTAAATAGAATTATTACTATTGTTCTTTATTAATAATTTTGAATATGATTATTCCGTCCTCCTTTGTCTTTTTTCCCCATTATGTTTGCTTTAATTTTTTTGTATACATATGGAAAATTCATTGGTCTTTTTTGTCAGACTAGTTTCCCTCGTACAACTCATTCTCAAAACAAAAGGAGGTGAATCATGCTGTAAATATAGTACTGTATTCAATTTAGCTATGATGATCTGCAGTAATTGAGAGAAAATATAAAATAAACTATCCCTTTTTATATATAAAGTTGCAATTACAAGATTTTGAGTCACAAACTTGAGCTATGCGTTATAAGGACTAAAATAATTGCGAAACAGTTGCATTTGTGAGATATTTTGGTGCAGATACAAAAAACAGTCTAAATATAGAGATTCTATACATGAGATATCTATATCTATATGAGCTGAGATATAAAGGCGCGATTAGGAGAAATTCATGATATATTTTTTTTAACCTGTTTTTACCTCCATTGTATCACACTGATATGAAAGGGGCAGATGTTTCTATTTGACAGCGCCCAATGGTTTTGCGGCTACGCTGTGTGAGAGGAAAATATACACGCTCCCTTAAGCCGAGTAAACGTCACGGTTTCCACACCCCGAGGGAGGACAGGAGATGGACAGGAGGGGGACACCGGCTTTCGACGTCAAAAGCAACGGGTTATACGGAGTGTCAACACCGTGAATATAGGCTACAGCATTACAGTGCATCTTCTTCACAGCCTCTGCATTAAAACGTGAGTGAAATCCATTTTATTGGCATTTATACTTGTATTGATTCATGCATGTATTCTAGTCAACAGGAGATATTTGAGAGGGCAGAGAGAGACAAAAACCAAGACGACTCGAGGGTGACAGATGCACGGATTTAGTTAAACGTACAGGGGTTGGCGTTCAAGCCACCCGCTCTCCATCAGCTCTCTTTATCTGTGCACGTAGAATATCAGACCATATTCACAACCAGACAGAAAGACAGCAAATAAACAAACATCCCCTTGTAATTAACAAGAGAGAGAGAGAGAGAGAGAGAGAGAGAGGGAAGGATAGGAGAGCAAATTTCGCCTTGCACAAACACCAGAGAGCTAGTAAAAATTGATTAAATTCTTTTAGTCTCTATTGATTTAAAGACGTGAAGTTGCATGGATAGCTGCATGTTTTTGTTCTCTATCATGTATGTGCGTATGTGCAGTTGGTGTGGTGACAAAGAGCCACATACGCCTGAGCTTCCAGTGAGGATTAAACAAAGAAGAAATGGGGATATCTGTCGATATTTATATGCATTTCATTTTATTGCATTCACTTTTAAAATGCTCTCTTGCCAGAGCTCGTAACACAAGTTTCTTTGTTCTACTATAGCATTTTAATCTCTTAAAATACCTTAGAGATTGACTGATCTCTCCTATTTATATTCTGTTTTTGGTTACACCTTATAAAAGCATACATTATTAATATTTACCTTATATAATGCATTCATTCAAACAGATCATTAATGTATACTCAAATAGCAAGCCCATCTTTGAGCAGTTTGGGAAGATCTATGAGCTTACGGTGATCAAGGACAAGTACACGGGAATGCACAAAGGTAATTAAACGCTAGTCTATAGAACGGACAGTCTCAAGGGGAGATGGGAGACTAATGGTGCTAGATGAGTTTCCTTTTCATATCTTAACTACATATCTTAGTTCGTCTACTGGGGCCTTCTTTGACAGTGGGATATATACTTGTTTTATTGTGTAGAAAACTTTAACCTTTAGTTTGCAATAGCATTAATTTCCTGCTGCTTCATTTTAAGTTTGCATCCAACATTCTAGCTTCCTAAGATAAACAAATCTGTTCATAGAAAAGGCATCTTTGGTGAGAAAACAAATTGTTCATAATTCTTAGTCACGGTTGTCATATCCTTTTATGTCCGCAAAACACTGCTTGTTATCCATGGTCTGTCTATGTCTATGTCTATGTCTGTTATGTTTTTATTTTTACATCCCACGTTGTATTCTTGTTCTTTCTTCAGGATGTGCGTTCTTGACGTACTGTGCGAGGGAGTCAGCCTTGAAGGCCCAGAATGCACTGCACGAGCAGAAGACATTGCCGGGGGTGAGTTGTCGCTGTTAATAATGTGAACGGGCTGTATAAAAAATTTATTTATTTAAGTCAAACAAACACTTCCAATTGCCTATATATAGCAGACTATGTATAGGATAAATCTTTTATCATGAAGCTCTTCTAACAGGGCTGAGGAACATGAAGTAATTTCTAAAAGTGGAAGCAACACATTATATGGTTCAGGAGATGGGATCTGTGGAAATCTGTGTTGACTGAACAGACTTTAATTAGGTATGTAGGAGGGCACAATCCTTGAAGGCATCTGCGATCGTGTCGCTGTCTGAAGTCGTTGATTAGCTGTTAGGCCATCTGCCATGATGGACAACCTGTAAATTCAGAAACCTCCAATCTCTTCATCTTTTTATGCTTTTTTATGTGTAGATTACCTACTTTTTCAGATTTGCCAGATGTACGGGATCATTATGAGCGGTGTTGCAAGTTGAATGCACATGACGTCAATGTATAGAACTTGAGGATGAGCTCATATGGTCTGTTTTGTGATTTACAAGCAGGAATCAAAGGCATATTCCACCCATTACCTGAGCCTCATGCCATTCCATACATGTATGATTTTCTATATTCAGCTCCACACAAAAGAAGATATTTTGAAGAATGTTGGTAATCAAACCATTGTTGAACAATTCTTCAAAATATCTTCTTTTATGTTCCACAGATAAAAATAGAGTCAAGCCAGTTTGGAATAACATTAGAGTGAGTATGATTATGACAGTATTTTCATTATTTGGTGGAATATCCCTTTAATACAACTATTGTACATGGTGATGGGTTTTCCCCCCCTGTTGATTAGACTTGGAGCAAGCAAACCCACAGGGATTTTTTTCCTTCCCCTCAAATTCTATTTAAGTGAGTTTAATTTGCATTAGAGGAAGCTGCGCGTCGTAAAAGATGAGACACGATGTGGACTGAGCGGCCAACATCTGAACAGACTCCGAGCCAACTGTAGTCCCACCAGACGTAGGCTAATGAAGGGATATAATGGCTTTATTGCTCCGTATGTCACATCACGTAACATCGAAAGCTGGTTGAGTAGTGTTAGAAGCGACAAAATTAAATCGAAGTGTGAGCAAAGTAAACCTTGTTCTGCCTTGGTTTTAGAGAATCAATGTTTGTGAGCATCTGTTTAGATGGTTTTTCCTTATGGTGAGTAACGTTATGCGTTATGTGCTCGTGGGTAACTCCAGAACAAATCCCATTATTAGCATGACAGTAGTCTGACCTTTGCCGACCTCTCCAGGCACAGATCAGTGGGTTCCCCTGGGTTTAAGTCCTCTCTCCTCCTTCTCTATCCCTCCATCCTTCTATTAATCTCCCCCTCACCTAAGCCTGGTAAGACGGTGTTCAAACCTCCCCCATGAGGTACGGCGGGAACCACATTATTAAGAACAACACCCACCTCTCCTAAACAGAAATCTCTCTTCTTCTTTCTCTGTCTCTCTTTCATTCTTTCTTTTTTCACACACACACACACACACACACACAGACAGCCCAGCTGTGTGGCATTATTACCAGCTCATGGCACCTGCCATTCAGAGCAGGCCCCGCCCACTGCCTGTCAATCATAGAGAATTGCTTTAGCAATGCTGCGTGATGTCTGTTTAGAGTGCATGTGCCGGTGAGATAGGAATTGTAACCACGATGAGAGGAGAAAGACAGATAAGATAAGACCGAAATTGGCTTGGAACTTTAATTTCTCACCGTTTCTCTTTTTCTCTCAGGCTTTGTTCACACTACATCCAATTCATATTTGTTTTTCAGATTTGATCTTTAAGACACTCAGTATGTGCATTGTCATTTTGTGAGTGATGAAAACGTACCTTGCTCAAATAGTGTAAGAAAAGGGGTAGTTCACCCAAAAATGACAATTCTGCCATCATTTACTTATTCTCATGTTGTTCCAAACCTGTATGACGTAATTTCTTCAGCAAAACACAAAAGATATTTAGAAAAATGTCTCAAGGTTTTTTTTGTCCTTGCAATGGAAGTTAATGAGATCCAATGCTGTTTTGGATTCCTTTGACTTTCATTGGTGTAATTTTAGGATTATTTATTGTAGTATTTATTAATTTTTCATTTAGATAAAATTTTTATTTTTAGTCATTTTGTTATGTGCTTGTGCCATTTTATTTAAAATGTTTATTAAGCTTTCATTTATTTGTTTTAACTTTCAGTTTCAGTTTTAGTTTTAGTTATTTTTGTACTTCAATTGTTTTATTTTAGTTATTTGCCGAGGCAACATTTCTCACTTTCATTTGAGGTCTGATATTTATATTTTATTTCAGCTTTATTTTAACTTTAGTTTTAGTTGTAGTTTTAGTTAACAATTGCAACAGTGTTTCATTGTATGGAGAAAAAAACACTTACATATACTTCATAACATCTTCTTTCATGTTCTACAGATGAAAAATATACAAATGTTTGTAATAGGGTTTGAAATGGGTTTGTAATAGTCATATTTCAGTGTGTGTGTGTGTGTGTGTGTGTGTGGCCTTTGATGATTACACACTCTGTGATAGCAGAACTTAATCTGACGGACATCTATCCACTGTGCACAGCAGAGTTTTTCACACCATTGACATAAAATAAACTAGCTAATGGCCATTTTCTGCTTTTCAAAAGGAAGTTAGCTGCAAATATTAGCTGCCCTTTTCATCCACTTTATGTTTGTGGTAGCGTTCAGATGCTCAGACATTTATTATAAAAAAGTCACGAACAACAGATCCTCTTGGGTCCATCCTACTTCCTCTCTTGATTTGATTGGTTTTGTCATCTGTAACAAATCATACAATCTTAAGAGCTTGTTTGCTGGCGGTAATCTGTCTTCTTTCTGAATGTGTCCCAGATCGATATTGTTGCTCATGAAAACCCATACAGACACTAAATGATGAATATAGCATTTGCAGATTTCCTGATTTTTCAATTTGAAGTGCCCATGATGATTTTTTAAATAATATAAATAATATTAATAATAAATAATATTCTATACCTGTTGATGTTTCAAATGAAGAATATTCACTCTTTAAGAATATTGTGTGTTAAATACATATTGACAATTACCACAGAAATGAATGGTTGTCCCTTAGAATTCCATTTTAAGTGCACAGCTATCTACTATATCTTTTTTATTTGTTCATATTTACAAACTGAGAAGTTCATCTAATCTATAAAGACGAGCAAACAAATATACATTATTTATTTTTAAAAAAGTGGTGAAATCCATTGCTTTCCTCATCCGCATTTGGTTCCCATAGACATAAATAAAGTAGCACCCCCATCTCAAACAATAGAACAGCATCACCACTGTTGATGGCGTGTTCGGGGGGTTAGATATCAGCATTATTGCAAGCATCACTCACATGAGGTCTGTTTGCTTGGCAAAAGCGAGTTAGTTTGAATGTGCTACATTCAGAATTTGATATGCATATTGAGTTAGCAAACCCAACCAATGCATATCCCCGTTTCCCAACTCTCTGTCCATCTTTCCCCATTTAGGCAGGTGTCAACACTGACAGTTTAAAGTCTGTGTTACCATTGTAATTGCTTGAGGTCTAGTGATTGACAGATTTGAAACAGAGTATATTGATTATTTCAAGAATGAAGATTTCAGGAGCTTTCCATCTTTCAGCCAAGATGGTGTTTCATTGTCTAAGGGTAATTTATGTGACATTTCAAGCAATGACAGCAGTATGACATGCTATTTAAAGGCTTTTTTCTAACTCTTATGATTGTCATACATGCAGTTTCAATGACCGTATAATAATTACTAATAATGGAATATTTGTATTCAGTGTTCACTGAATGTTTATATTAAATTTACAATTTTGTGTTTGAGTAAAAGAAATGTAAGTACCAATAAAAGTATGTTCCATTTGGCATGTTAAATGTGAATGAAACTACACATTTCTGAAGACCATTCTCTGTTTGTTATAAAATGGGAGATGGATGGAATGGCTGAAAAAATAAGCGAGAAAAAAGGAGAAAGCGAGTGGAATATATTGGGGGTGGGGTGCCGTGCAGGTTGATTACGGTCGCAGGTCCTGTTGCCAGGAGACGGCTGGGACAAGGGATGCTGGGTTGCTAGGGAACCAGCTCAATGCAATGACCAGCATTGCATGATGGGTACAGAGGCAAGATTGAGAATAGTCTTTGTGTAGATACACAGCTAATTTAACATCTGCCACCACACGCGCACACACACTAACAAGTCGCAAGAGAGATCCTCTTGAGCTTGAGTGCAAATCACACACACAGTCATTCTTTCCATGCACAGAGAAACTTGGGGAGCATGAACAAACAGCATGCCCTCCAGGCATATAGTGAATGAATGAACATGAATTGTGATCTGATTTTTAAGCTCTTATGAGTCACCGCCTTTCTGAATTTTGCTCATATTGTTCAGAGTTTGTGTGAATGGAAAAGCCAAATTTGGGTGTGTCTTGTTTCGAATATAGGTATTTTACAGGTAAAACATGATGATTTATTTGTATATACAGTATATTCAAGGCAATACATGGAAGTTGGCGGCAGAGTAAATGTCAGTTGATTGAATAATCTATGGATTTAATATCCCATAATCCCACTGAAATCCCTGGCCTCAGATCAAGGCGGAGATTAAGTGTGTGTGTGTGCTCATCATGTCAATGGAGTGTTTTAGCTGGCAGACGAATGAAGCGGCAGTTATGACCTGCGCTTCTGATGGCGTGTATGGAAAGATATTACATTAATATTTTCTTCAGTATTTTCTATTTTTGTAAGCATACGATTGCATTTTCCTGCAGCAACACAGATTGTAGGATTACGTTTATTTGTGTATTGATGTGTTTTACATTTTTCCATACACAAAAAATAGCACACATTTGTTGAGTCTCAGTTTCCTGGTGTTTTTAAACATCATGTTCTACAGTTTATTTAATTATTTACTTTATTAAATTGTCACTTAGTTTTAATATCAGTGGTGCTACTGCAATATAAAAACAGCAGCTGGACATTTATGGAAAGCATGAGCTGTTCGTCCTCAGGTTAAAGGTAATGTGCAGTTTATACATTTATTTTTACTTCTATGCTTTTGTTTATGCTTATACTTTTTTTTCTTGAAAATCTATGAAAAACACCAGACTTTTTGAAATGTTGTTTTGAATGGTTAGCGGTATCCACATTCATTTTTTATTTGTCCTTCTCTGTGAGTCATGTTATATGTTTTTGGCATGCTGTGAAATAGTGAAAGTCATTATGTAAGGTTTATACGGCGCTGTATGTGTGCGAGTGAGTGCCTGATCAATATGGACCCCAGATGAGTGATTGCGGCTGGTCAGATAAAACCAAGCCATCTGAATTGGGCCAAAATGTCACCTGATGCATAATTAACGCCTTTATGTTTATTTGGTCAATTTAGCTCACAGCTTCTTTTCTTGCCTCTCATCTTCTCCTTTTACTAATTGTATTTATTTAAATTAGAGCTGTAGTGATTGAACAATTCCAAGTAGAATTGTGAAATAATTTGAATTACAATACTAATACTATCTACTGTTCATGCTAATTCTTTTTATTTCGTGGTAAAAAAGAATTTAGTCATTTAAAATCATTTAATATTTGTTTTTAGATAACAATAAGGACATAGTTTTATAACCTACTTGTAATGTGTTGTCACATTTCTTTTAAAGTAGCATTTGTGGTCATAATTGTGATTGTGATATAATTGTCATTTTATATTTGTATATACATATACTAAGGTTCATAAGTTTGGGGTCAGTAAGATTTTTAAAATGATGCATAATTAACGCCTTTATGTTTATTTGGTCAATTTAGCTCACAGCTTCTTTTCTTGCCTCTCATCTTCTCCTTTTACTAATTGTATTTATTTAAATTAGAGCTGTAGTGATTGAACAATTCCAAGTAGAATTGTGAAATAATTTGAATTACAATACTAATACTATCTACTGTTCATGCTAATTCTTTTTATTTCGTGGTAAAAAAGAATTTAGTCATTTAAAATCATTTAATATTTGTTTTTAGAGAACAATAAGGACATAGTTTTATAACCTACTTGTAATGTGTTGTCACATTTCTTTTAAAGTAGCATTTGTGGTCATAATTGTGATTGTGATATAATTGTCATTTTATATTTGTATATACATATACTAAGGTTCATAAGTTTGGGGTCAGTAAGATTTTTAAAAGATGTTTTTGAAAGTCTCTTATGCTCACCAAGGCTGCATTTATTTGATCAAAAATACAGTCAAAACTGTAATATTGTGAAATATTATTACAATTTAAAATAGCTGTTTTTCAAATTGTATATATTTTAATGTAATTTATTCATGTGATGGCAAAGCTGAATTTTCAGAATTTTTTTTCAGGTATCTTTGATGAATAGAATGTTCAAAAGAATTGCATTCATTTGAAATAGCAATTTTTTGTAACATTAGCAATTATAAAATGATCAATTTAATGTGTCCTTTATGAATACGTTTTTAAATTCTATTTTTGATTAATATTAATCTAATTTTTAGTAAAAAAAAAGATTCCTGGCTTAATAATACTACATAAATTTACCTGAGAAACAAAATTACAAAGCATATTAAGAGTTGCTCAAATGTCTTAGAGACATATTATAGAGAGTATATTTAGCATTTTGTATTAGTTGATTTTGTAGTCTTTCCTTTGTAGAAAAAAAATAAACTAATAAGAAGAGCATTAAATAACTGCATTCTAACTTTACTCCCTTTTTCTAGTTTGTGTATGCTTAAAATAAATGAAAAATCTGTATTCACAACAAAAATCTGTATGCTTACTTTCAATATACTTTCTAGGAAAACAATTTTTTTAATGTAATTTTGCTCAGGTAAATGTATCTTGTTTTAAGGATGGTTTGATATTTTGACTAAAACATTAAAGGCACAATATGTAAGGTCGCATTTTCAAAACAATAACAAAGGGCGAAGCTTGACGACGCTATGAAGGAGAGTTTTCACCATCCAGAGATGTCCGAATCATGTTCACGGATATAATGAATTATTTTATTTTATTACCTGTACCTTCCAAAGTCTTTCAAACAGCGAAAAAATTATATTGAGAAAGCGAGCAAAGAACATTTAACGTTACATTGTCAAAGAACAGTATGCCTGACTTCAGTCTAGCGCGAGTTTAAGCAATCTCAAAAAACTCCCCTTATAATCAGTAAAGCTGTCTATACACTATTTGGTGAATGAATCTCCTACTTACATCATACGTACATCTGTACTTTGTTGTTTATGATGAGAGAATACACTCAGCGAGCGCGCGCACTGAACAAAACTCCGGTGTTTCAGCGATGACTCATCTAAACGCCTCTGATTGGACGCTGCGTTCATAATCTCAACAGACTCGTGTGTGTGATTGGTTATAAGGTGCAACACTGTAAAAACGTGGAAAAAGATTCATGGTGCAACACTGAGCAGACCTAAATTTAATGCTGCTGTCAACACTTTTCATTTCGTTTTATTCGAGACTGCCGTAATGGATTTAGTTTAACTGCAGCAGCTTTTTTGTCCACGTGCGTTGCCAAAGTTTCTACAAGCGGAAACCGATAGCGTGAAACCTGATAGATAATACGTAATTGATAAGTGACAATGACCCTGGAGGAGCCATTATTTAAAATTGGAATTTCTCTGGATTTACAAATCCTTGGGAACTTTTGGGATAACGTAAGTGCACAACTGCATGAAATATATAACAATGTGCAAGTGGTTTTTGGATATTTTATTACTAAAATCTTACATATTGTGCCTTTAAGACATTAAGATATTAGATATTAAGATATTAATGTGTATCCTAATATAATACTATTATAAATACTATCAAATGGCTTTCCCCCCACCTAACCTTAGTTAAACTTGGTTTTATATACTAATTTTTCTTGATTTTTCCCCCCTTTCCATTCTCATTTCCTCTCTCTCTCCCCTTATTTCTATTTTCATGTTTCTTTTCCCTCTCATCTCACCATCCCTCCCCTCTTTCCCCTGGTGCCTCTTTCTCTCTTCTGTTTCACAAACCCAGAATCTCTCACCGTTTTAATCTGCCGTGCGTCTGTAATCCAGATTAGCCAGCGAGCGTGCTTAATCTCATCACTTCCCCAACCCCTCGTGGGTGTGTGCTTTTCCTGGTGCCCGAGAGAAAGAGAGAGAGAGTGGAGCAGGATTAGGTTGGATGGAGAGAGGAAGAGCATAAAACTGATTCTTAATGAGAGATAAAAGTGGGCGAGAGAGAGATGGCGATTAGGCCTCAAATAGAGGCAAACAAGTACAAAGGCTATGTGGAGAGAGCAGAGAGCAGAGACCAGATATAAAGGGATGGAAACACAACAGATGCAGGGCCAGTGTGGAGATTTGGCTTTTAACTCTGGAATATTGAGGCAGATGGGCAGGTCAAGAGATCTACATCATGCACATACATTCATGATGTTCTGCAAAAAAAGCACACACAAGCACAAGAGGAAGTGAAAGAGCTGGATTTTAAAGTGCAGTTGATCATGTGATCATGTGCTCTGTGTTTCAGATGAACCGCCCCATTCAAGTGAAGCCAGCAGACAGTGAGGGCAGAGGAGGTATAACACACACACACACACACACACACACACACACGGCTGTCTGTCTATCTATCTATACAGACTTGATTTATGAATAATTTTTACCTTTGAGAATGTCTTCAAAGAACAGTTTTGCCACATTTTGTTCACTTATGGGATAGTTTTGTCTTCAAAGTAAACACATACTTCATATTTTGTGTTACAAATACCAAAATGTATTAATAATTCAAGAATTCAACATTTTAAACCCATTTAATGTGCGTGGATTGAGTACAGACTGATTTAATAATCTCTTATTTGAAGAAAACAGCAACACAATCCGAAATACAATGCAAATGGTTCTTTCTTCTTTCTTCTGTATTAATACACACACAAAACATGAGCTGTGCCATTGTGTTGCGCTGCAAGTGACGGTCCTCTAGGGCCATCTAGTGTCCAATAATGTTATCACACTATGAAGCTTACACTAACACAGAGTGACAAATATTGTCTGCGATGATTTGATGGTTATTACCACTTTAGGATGATACATGATCTCACACAGCCATTTCTCTAATATATGTAAATTTATCATGATCAGTCTTTCTGTTTGTAGACAGGAAGCTGTTTGTGGGGATGTTGGGGAAACAGCTGTCAGACACCGATGTAAAAAAAATGTTTGAGCCTTTTGGAAGTATAGAGGAGTGCACGGTACTCAGAGGGCCTGACGGAGCCAGCAAAGGTGCGCAAACCACATTCAAATACATGCACTGCCAGTTGTATCATGAGCTTAAATTCTAATATAATACGACTACTCATAATAACAATAATTATTATCATTATTGTATTTTACTTAATAATTTATAATAATAATTAATTTATAATTATTTACTATTGTTTAAATTATAATCGTTATTAATATTATTAAAATAATAATAAATAATAATAAATGGTTTATCATTATATAATATATATTAATATAATACTACTACTAATAACAATAATAGTAATTATTGTATTGTTAATCAGTCATTTTATTTAATAATTTAATAAGTATTTTATAATAACTGATTAAATTTTTCTTCTTAATTATACATATTTGTTATTTATTTATTTATTTATTAGCATTTCTTTTTTGGAAGAGATGGTTTAAGTGGAACTTCTGTCAGTGTTCAAGTACATTCCCTTACACTATTTTATTTTTATTTTAGTGATCCTATTTTTCACAGATATTTGTATTAATTATCGTTAAAATCATTTTTAACAATAATTAAAATGGAATTATTATTATTATTGCTCTTTTATTAGCATTTCTTTGGAAGAGATTGTTTGAGTGGAACTTCTGTCAGTGTTCAATTACGTTGCCTTGAAAATATTCTTTGAGTGAACTCCATTTTTCACACATTTTGAGCACTGATGGCAAATTAACCACATATTATAGATGTAAATTGTTACAAATAAATTGTTTTAGCAAGGCTTGCCAGTTGTCTTTGACTGAAGGCTCTTTCAATAAGATTACAGGCAATAAAGCACATCTGTACCAGCACTGTAGTATTACAACACTACTAGAGTTGCAGCAGTGTGTTTGCTCATGCACACGTATGTTGGCTAATGAATGATAGTCCGTTCAGCGCAGCCTGTGATTTATAAAGCGATGGATGTGTGGGCTCTGGGTAATTATGTGTGAGTGTGAATGGAACAGATGCACCTGCTGTAGTAAATCATTAACTGTTTCACTTTTACTCTCCCATATGTTCAGATGTAGGCTTTTGGAAATAATGTGGGCATTTGTACCAACCTCAGCTTATTGTATTTGTTTAATTGGATGTTTAAATACTCCCACTTGATGATGCATTGTTTTAGACTATAAAATGTCTGCCTAATGCATTTGCCACATCGCTCCAGCTTTGTCTAATAATGTGTTGTGTGTTGCAGGTTGTGCATTTGTAAAATATCAGAGTAATGCAGAAGCGCAGGCGGCCATTAGTGCTCTACACGGCAGCCGCACTCTCCCGGTTAGTGTTTCGTTCACGGTCACATTCAGGATTCCTCCCACAATCACACCTACAGGCATAACACAACACAGTAGCACATTGTTTAGATATTCATACTCACTCACTACAGAGTCTTTGCGCTTTGTTTTAACATCACCCACTGCATATTTTACCTCCAGACTTGTATTTGATGTTGTTTGAGAATGAGGATTTTCTTTATCCCCTCAGGGTGCATCTTCTAGTCTGGTGGTGAAGTTTGCAGACACAGAGAAGGAGAGAGGAATCAGGCGTATGCAGCAGGTGGCCTCCCAGCTGGGTGTCATTAGTCCCATGAGTCTACACCTGGGCGCCTACAACGCCTACACACAGGCAGTGAGCACTAACAGTACTCATGATCCAGTGCAGGAATATACTTGGTCTACTGTTCAAAAGTTTGGGGGCAGAAATTAATGCTTTTATGACAGGAAAGACTTGTACATTGTTTGAAAAGATTTCTATTAAATAAACTTTGTGTTCATCAAAGAGTCCTGGAAAAAATAAGTTTCTCAGTTTCTAGAAAGCAATATTAAGCAGCATAACTGGTTTCAGCATTGATAGTAATAAGAAATGTTTCTTGAACATCAAATCAGTATATTAGAATGAATTCTGAATCTGAATAGATTTTCTTGAAATCTATTCAAATACACAACAATTTAAAATTTTAATAATATTTCACAATATTGACTGTTTTTTTTATGTCAAATAAATGCAGCTTTGGTGAGATTAAGAGATTTGAAAAACATTTTTAAAAACCTTACTGAAACCACCCAAACGTTTGAACAGTAGTGTGTATTACATAATATGTCCATTGAGGAACTAAATAATTTTGACTTTATTTTGAACAGTATATTTAATCATTTAAATCCAGCAAACAATTTTGAACATTGTCTGTCTTTAAACTAATTTCTAATTGGTTTCATATTTTGGTTTCTAATGCAATGACTTTCATACTTAGGAGTGGCTTATGTTTCCAAATTATTAATGGGCCAATGTATGTACCAGGATTTAGTTTACAGAAAATAGATTGGGATGAAATTGAATTAGGATTATAGCAATAACTGGAAGTTGCATTAGGTTTGGTACCAGAAATACTTCCATAATTACTTTACGTTCTGCACACGGGAAGTTGTTATTGAAATGGCATTGACCTAATAACCCCAGTACAACCCCTGCACAGGACTTGAATTTAGTCCAAATCTGCTCAGAATTTTATGTGTCATAGTCCTTTTGTACAAAGCTTTGGATTCACTGCTTTTTTTTGTCCCATTCAGCTCGTCCAACAGCAGGCCTTGGTGGCTCAGTCTGCATATCTGTCTCCTGTGGCGACGGTTGCCGCGGTGCAGATGCAGCAGTTGGCTGCTCTCAATCCCAGCAGCATCATAGCCACACCCATCGCCTCAATCACGCCCTCCTCAGGTAAATATCAGTCTTCTACAAAAGCAATTTGGTCTGTAGAAATATTCCAATTCCAAGACTTATTGGATTTAATCAAGTATTTGTAATGGGTCATTCTGCTGTAGGTACGAGCACTCCTCCAACCATTGCTGCCACACCTTTGCCTGCTTTGCCTCCACCAATCGCACTCAACAGTTACCCTCAAGTCTCCGCACCACCCAATGGCCAGTCTGCCTCTGAAACCCTCTACACTAATGGTGTCCATCCATATCAGGGTGAGGATAGTTCCTCCAGTCTTTATTCATTTTAATACTATATTGTAGGGCTGCACGAGAAATCATATTATAGTCATGATCACAATTTCTGCTTCTCTCGATTCATTACTAATTGTCTCATCTCTACTTTTCTTCTGTTTGTTTTCATGTATCTCTCCTTCAGCTCAGAGTCCTGCATTGGATCCTCTCCAGCAGGCGTATACAGGCATGCAACACTACACAGGTGAGGCTTCTGAACTCCTGAAATGCAACTTGAATTTTGTTGACACTGAAGAATGTGGAGTCTAGTACTCCCTTTTTCAAAAAATGAAATAAAATAAAATAAAAACACAGCTTTTTACAAACAGGCCAGTTAAAATTTCTGAAGCAAGAAATAAAATACAATCTAATCTAGTTCAAGTAACAAACATTGTTTTCCACATTTTTATTGTTTTTACTAAATGAACACAAACAATAGATATTTATTCATGTGCATGTTTTTATTTATATACACCAATCTAACAGTAAGCATTCATAAAATAAGGATTTAACCCTGTACATTTTTACTAAAACATTTTAAACACTGTAAACTGCTACATGTGGCTTTCCATGAATGATAATGATGTAAATGAATCGCTGAATTCATTGGCATGGTTTGCTCGAAAGAACTGATTCACAGAAATGAATCAAGCTTCATGAAGTTTAATCAAAGACTTTTTAGCTGCTTATTGAAGCTGGTCACTAGCTGAGTTGGATTTGGCTACTTTTACAGCAAGGCTGGCAAATGCATTTGAACCTGATCTCATGTTTAACTTCATTAATCCACCCACAGCTACATATCCTGCTGCTTATGGATTGGTTGGTCAACCATTTCCACATCAGCCCACTTTGGTTGCCCAGCAGCCGCAGCAGCTGCAACAACGAGAAGGTAATGATGTCATTTCCTGTCTAACTGGCTACTATAACCACTGATATCCTGTTTTGAGGATTTCCTAGACTATAATTGAACATATTTCTCAATCGTTGTTCTCCGAAATCTCATGCTGTGCCACGAAAATATTCAAAGCACCATCTTTCATTCAGGGATCAACATGGTTACTTCCTTTTTATGATTGAAGAATTAGACTGAAACATGTGTAACAGTGTGGTCTGATGTATTTCGCTCTTGCCAATGTCTCATATCTTCTCTCCTCTTACTCCCTCCAGGCCCAGAAGGCTGCAATATATTTATTTATCATCTGCCTCAGGAGTTCACCGACTCTGAGATGCTGCAGATGTTTCTGCCCTTCGGTAACGTCATTTCAGCCAAGGTGTTCGTTGACCGCGCCACCAACCAGAGCAAATGCTTTGGTAAGTGATTTCCAAAAAGCGATTTAGATGCTGTATGTATACAGACCAAATGAAATAAATATAAACTATGAATGCACAATTAAAGCAAAGGTATTATTGACGTATATATATATTTGTTTAATAAATCTCATAGTCAGATTGCATAATATCTTTGACTCTTCCTTGACACTGTGATTTTGTTTCTGATTTATAAAGGGGAAAAAAATCTTCCAGAGTTTCATACCCTCATCAGGTTTTGAAATTACAAAAACAAGCTGTGCATGGACTAAGCCATTTCTGTTTTAAATGTGATTTGAACTTAAAAAACATCTAGAGGGGTTGCCTGTTGAGAAGGGAGAAAGAACTCCAGTTAATACATCTTCATCGTCTTCATCTGCCACGGTCAACTGGGAATCTGCAATTACATAAAACACTAAATTAGCAAAAAAATATGAATCTTTTTCTTTTTTTAAATACACTGTATGTATGTATGTATACAGACCAAATGAAATAAATAAATATATATATATATATATATATATATATATATATATATATATATAAAATGAAATTCTTCAATATGTAATGGAATATTGCTTTAAATGAAGTACAGTGAAATGTAGGCATAAATAAGGTGTGAAATACATATAATTATTTTTATAATATAACATGATGTGAAATCTGAAATAGAATTAAATGTAAGCATAAATAAATAAGATATAAAATAATATATACATTTTTTCATGTAACATGAAAAAGGATGTTAAATACACCTTAAAATGAAAAACGTAATGAAATGTGAAGTGAAATACACCTTAATAATAAAATAAAGGAAAATTTACATGAAAACTTGTATGAAATACGACACGATAAATGCCTTGAAATTAACAATGACATGAAATATGCTTTGAAATGAAATGTATCAAAGTCTTGAGGGCAAGAAAAAATATGTATTTAGTCTGTTAAATCTCTCCATAGTTATAAGAAGGTTACCGTTAAAATGCTGTTGAAATGACAAGGGAATCATCAGTGATTCATTCACCGAAGCACTTCCTCCACAGCATTTACATCTTCTGTTTCTTTCTTGTTTCTGGTCACGCCCTTCATGTCGCAGGTTTCGTAAGCTTCGACAACCCAGCGAGCGCTCAGGCTGCCATCCAGTCCATGAACGGCTTTCAGATCGGCATGAAGAGGCTTAAAGTTCAGCTGAAGAGGCCTAAAGATGCCAACCGCCCATACTGAGCCGAACAGGTGAAGAAAACGAGTGCCTCTTCATTAGATCTCTCAGTATTATGCTTTGTGAGCAGTTCTAAACTAACCAGTCTAGCCTGTTTTGACTGATTAAAATTGTTACTACTGACCTAATGATTTATTATTAAATACTGTAACCGAAAGCATAACTCATCAGCATTAGATCTTAAAAACGTAGTCGAAAAAGAAAAAAAAAAGCACTCATTAATTTTTACTTTTCATTTATTGTTTTTGTGCTGTGTCATTGTTCACAAAAAAAACAACAACAATCAAACAAACAAACACAACCTCATCCACACCAAGGCTGCCCTGTCCAATCATAACTCGTGCGGAGACCACGTCGCTATGGCTACGGTGGCCTAGCAACCAATAAAGCTCCCCCCTCCTCCCACAGCGTTGGTTTGTAAGTTGATTGGCCTGTGTTGATTACTGTGGAGATATTCCTGCCTGTGATGGTTGCCATTAGCAGTTTTGTTTTTTGGCCCTTTGTCATGTATCCTCCATGCTGAGAGTGCATGGCGGGTTACCGTGGTGACTATGGACTGTGTTTGGTGCGTTGTGACTCTCTCTTTTTGTTTTATAAATACTGATCAATAACTGACACTTATCTGTGATTTACTCCTAAAGTAACTCCGGTAGCTAATGGAGTTACTCAACCTAAATTGATCCTATTGAACTCTAATCAACCAGCTCAATGTGCTGCTTTTGGGTGGATTTTGTTTTTGATCAGTCTCCTCTGTGTTTTGTTTGGTCATGACTCTATTTCTTATTCAAAATACTCCCATATGTAGTCTGGTGGTGTTATAGTTACTGTGAATGTGGGGTGGGGGGTCTCAGTGTGGTTGTATTTGATTCCGAGAGCGTTTGTGCTAGTGGATATGCTGTTTCGTGCCAACGAGTGAGCTTGTGTACGTGCTTGCGTGAATGATACGAGCGATTCGTGCATTTGAGCGTGAGAGCGAACGAGAGGTAGGGAACTTCATTCATTATATCTCTCAAACCTCTCACGCTGAGGTTTGAGGTAACACTTTGTGGTTGTTATGGTCAAACAAGTGACGCATTGTGCCGACCAAAGAACAGCATTCCCCTGTAGGAATTCTGGGTTATTTTAGGAAAACCTATTTATAGTTTATATTCAGTCATTCGTCTGAGCACTCAAAAAAGACGCAGTTAAGACAACGTCTTGAACACAATACAGCCCAGAATTCCTATGGTGCATGTTGGAAATTTGTTTGCCTGCCAGAAATGTTTCCCCACTTCAAATGATCACTAACAGAGAAACACACTCTTGCATAAAACCCCATTCACTGATTCACAATGTAGGTTGCATGGAAGTATAGAATGGTAAGCATTAGGCTACGTCCATATTAGCATTTTTCTCCATCCACACTAGCATTTTTAAGCGTTTTCCAAAAGTTGCTCACCTGAAAACGCTTAAATTGCCTTGCTGTGCTTACATAAAACCTCATAAACGCTCACTGAGAGACCAGACGTAATAAAGTTATTCTGGCACTATCATTTTATTAGCAAATATCCCACCTCTCACTAGTGCGTCCAGGTCACACTCAAACTGTTATCTTTGCAGGAATGTAATATGAAGATTGTACATAGTAACATTGATCTTTAACAACATTATTAAATTGAATAGAAGGCACATCAATGTTGGTACAACCATAGATATATATGGGTACAATATGTGTCACATGACTAAGCATAGCTCCGTTATCACAGTCCACACTACAACGAAAAAAACCCGGTGTTTTCAAATTTATATACTTCTGGGAGCACCTTCAAACAGCTGTTTTTTTGCTGGACACAAATGGGAATTTGTGATATTTTCAGATGCAAGAAAATTCTGATTTTTACTTACAACAGAGAGAAAAAGAAGCGTTTTCAGATTTATCCAGATTAATGTGGACGTAGCCTTAGATAACCTTCCCAAATGCACAGTAGTGTTGAAATAAGTAGGAGTGTTTTTTGTCTTGATCTTAACTGCTGTTTTCATTTTCTTTCTCTCACAGGGAAGAAAGGAGAGGACTATCGGAGTCAATTACAAGTCTCTTTTCCTCCTCTGCAAATTACGGGACCAACAACTTTCACAAAACTACAGTATAAAACCTACCGAGATTATTTAAACAAAAATATACATTTAATCACAAAGACAGACTTATCGCAAGAAGTGCAGGTTAAATAGAATGATTTGCTACCTTAACTGTATACAATATAGGACCAATCAGCAACGCAATGCCACTTGCTCTTCTGCTTGTGGGTCGTGACCTTTCTGTCCTCGGCCCACACATCTACGCCCTGCACACACACACAAATGGGACCAATGCAAATATGTCAGTACTACACGAGTTTCGCTTCTGGGTTCAAAGGAACTATGAACTATTAAAGTCTTTCTGCAGCAATGTAAAATATGTATATAGAAATGTGAGGGGACCATGTGTAGACATATCGAAACGGTTGGGAGGGTGGGACTGGGTCAATGTGATCAGAGCAAATAATCATGGGTGGTATATGGTAGATAGAGAAAGAATGTCCTTTTGGGAGTTTTGAAGGATTTGCTCTTGGTCTCTAATCTGAGTCCAGTTATACATAGTTCTTCATCTTCAATACTTAAGGAAACGAATGACCTGTGGTATGGGATGCTGGTCCTATATCGCAAACCTCCCTAAAATGACTGAATATAGTTTATCACAGAGAGGCTGTAGTTAGAGTTTTTTATTTTTAGGTTTGTTAGTTTTTCTTTTCTTTTTGTTAAATTGTGGATGATTCGAGAAGATTCATGAAAGTTAAAAACATAAAAAAATGTATTTCATTGTATATATATCATGCTTTTAAAATGAAGGTCAAGATTTAAACATTTGGGATATTATTATTATTATTATTATTTAGGGAAAGTGATTTCTATCTTTTTTTGTAATTTATCAATTTCTTGATGGAGGGCATTTTTTAAATTATTTATGAAGATAGAGGATCATTGGCACATGTTCCGATGAATCCGTGTATTTTTAGACATTTTATTTACAGATTTACCATTAATGAACAATCATTATTATTATTCTATTTATTTTCGTCAACTGTTGTTTCACAACCTGTCAATTACAAAAAAAAAATTTGAATAAAATTTTAAACAATATTTCTTTGTATGTCTGTGTGAGATTACAGGAATAAGTTTGTGTGTACTTGTGATATTTTATTATTAGTTTTTAAATTTTATTATAATTTTTTTTTAAATAACATGCTCGTGGATGCTTCAGTCTACATACCATTGTCTTTTACAAAGGCTGCCTATAAACAGTTCTGCATTTATAAAGTAGCTGTATGAACTTTGATGCATAACAAATGACTTAATTAGTGTTTAAAACTTCTTTGATTTCCATTGCATTATAATCTGCAAATTTTAACAATTTAAAGTTGTACTAAACTAAGTTTTCTGTTTTATTAATCAGAGACATGCACAATGAAGACAATGGCTATTTGAATGTGATGTGCGCTTCTGGATTTAAAAATGTACAACAGACAAATGTATATATATAAAAAAAAGTAATATTTAACAAGAAAACACTTTCTTTTAATGTTTAAAAAAAAGCAGTTCTAGAATTAACTGCAGGCCTTGGGTTCTATTTTGGTTAACAAATGTATCGTTTTAAATAAGACTAAGCTACTACTCTATATTCCATGCCTCGTGTATGTACTTCCAATTCAACCATCAATTGTTCAGAGGAGAAGGATGAGTGCTCACTCCTAGCATTTCACAGGTGTCGCTTACATCCTCAAACATCTGGTCATCCTTAACACGTCATAACTCGCGTGCAGGTAATCGTCCTCTGCCCCGCCCTTCAGATTTAGTATAGTACTGCACTCCTTGTTTTTTTGGCCCTCCTCTTCAGTCTTTCATTCGCCTGACTGGATGCGCCACTCAACAGCAGCCGGCAGAAGTACGTCTAGAGACCCTTTCAACTCGGACATGTGAAGCGACAAGTGTCGAAAAATAGATAATCTGAGCTGTGTGCATTATTTGTCGGCGGACTGACAAGTATACGACTAAAACCAACAGTGAACGAAGCGGGTGGGAAAACACCAAAAAGTGGAAGCGTTTGAACGTCAACTTTACCGCCAAACTTCCCTTGGCGTTTTTTCTTTTTCTATTACGGGGATTTAAGAAGACTATGCAAACAGACCGGATTATGAAGAACGCACAAAACTGTACAGATCGCCCTGAATAACTGCGAGATTACACCTTTGCTAAATCCGTCTCATCTGCTCACACCCTTGTGTTTCGCACTACTGCTAAAAGTAAGTAACTGTTACCGTTATGCGCAGCTGTGCTCATTCCTGCGTTGCTCTTTGTCGCTGTACTGTCATTTCCGTAAATGTATTCTCATATATTCATATTTATCGGATTTGTAATTTACTGTTTTGTTTTAGCACGTTAGCCTCTTGAAGCCAGTTGTTTGATGTGTACGGCCTACATCAGAGTACAAGTGCACACTACATTTTGTAGCGCGTGATGTTGAGTATGCATAGTTGTGATTACAACACGCTAGCTATACGCTGCCTAAAATGCATCGATAGTGGGGAAAACAGTCTTTTTGTTTTATTTTAATTTTTTAAACTTTCCTGGTTTTTAGGGACGGGTTCCGTGTTTGAAAGCTGCTCGGATAATGCTTAGTGAGTCAGTGCAAAATTGAGGATTGGTTTTTAAGTGCTACGTCGTAGAGAGTGTCTGTGGCGAATCTTGTTGCGATGTTTTCTGGCTGAAGGACGTCGGCTGTTCACAAACAGGTTTTAATATAAACCGTTATTGTGAAAGTCTAACCGATCATGCTCGTACTTGTTTTTAAAACCACGTAAACAGCGGATGTGTGTTTGATTTACATGCCGTACACACAGTGTATTAACTTGTGATGGTCGTCTCGTGTTACACTCGAGAGCTTTGAAGTCTCATGCCACGGTATTACGTCACGACGTTATGATAAGCAGCACATCTCAGATTTTTTTTTTTATTGTACTGTTATCTTCTAATCATTTGTAAAATACCCTGTACACTAAAAATTGATGTAGAAGCAATTTTCACTGAGCTAGTAAATTTAATTAAAAAAAAAATACAACGCAACTGGTGTACAGCGGTACAAATAATGTAGTATTTTCGTGTAAAACATTCCAGAAATCTTTTTTTTTTTATGTATTTACAATCTCAAAAAACAACATCCTTTGTTCAGTATTAAATAAAGTCTTTGGTTGTGTTCACTAAAAGATTTATTAATGAATCCGTTTAGTTCATCTGGATATTTTACACTTACCGTTTTTTGAATACTGCATAAATGGACGTAATACTCATTTGATATACTACTTTTTGTATAATGTAGCTATAGTATGGAAGTAGGCACATTTGGACACTTAAACGTCAAATATGCTTGCACTTTTTATGAACGAGTCATTGAATCATTCATTGAAATGATTCCGTGACACATACTTTGTCTTAAGGTCAGCATGAAATGAAAATTCACTCTATCTGTTTTTTAAATGCATGTTATTGTGAACAGTTCGTCTGGTCTATGTAAACTCCGCCCCTGCAAGCTCTCATTCCTCTGCCTCATCTCAAAATCCAACCAACAGCCCATGCATAGAACCAAGTCCTTACCCTACTTTTTTCTGTTTTTGTAATTTGTTACACCTGGATGTACGTCACAATATGGAAAAAAAGAAGATGGAAGTATGATGCTACTTCCATTTAATCACAACTTTACTGCATAAATGGTAGGGATGCACCGATATGAAAATTTTGGCCGATACCGATAACCGATTATTCTTTATTTTTGAAAGCCGATAACCGATATGTTGGCCGATAACTCTATATCCAAATTGTTATATACTTTTTGAGAGCCTGATTACAAAAAAGGTCTCATCATTAAAAGCCACATCCCAAACACTTCAACATAAGCAGCCTAGTTTGAACGGTGTACGTTTTAAAAATATTTTTACTCTCCCATTACCAAATTTAGTCATAAAAAAGTCTTACAAATAAATAAAATTATGCATAAATAATGCAAACAAGTCACTGGACATCATTACACGTGTAAAGAATCAAAATGAATGCGCCATAGATCAATAAAACGGAATAGCCTCTGCACGGACAATAATTAAATGATTTTAATTACTAAACCATATTGTTGATGAAAATAATAAGAGAAAAATACAAGTGGTTGTTGTTATTAATATATCAATGATTTTGAAAAAGTAACAAATTAATACCACTGTTTTAAATAGCAGCCGTTGAGCTGCGCGTGCTGAAGCTGAAGAGCTGAATGAACACGGTAAACTGAAGCGTTTTGCTGGCAGCTTATTTAACTCAAGGAAATGCATCCTGAGATTAATATTAATACAACATAAACATAATATTACAACTTATATATGTACAAAATGATGCAGTTATTGCGTGCTATAGTCAGAATGTGTGATCCTGTTGTGGATGCGCTCTTCCCATATCAACGCGCTGAAACACGGCAACTAAACCCAAAGAATTCACAACGTTTTATTATAATAATGTTCTCATTAGAATGTTATATACACGACATTCCCAATCATAGTTATTAATGTTGTGCACTGCTGTTTGAGCTGCGTGTGCTGAGCTAAAGATGATCACCGGTAAACTGAAGCGCTCTTTTAACTTAACCAAACGCATTCTATATGAGATAAATCAGATATACATCAAATAAACACAATATTACAATGTACAATTGCACAAAAGGCTGCAAACGAACAGCGCGCATCTGAAGTGTCTCTGAAGGAAATAATGCATTATTTATCGGCTTTAAGATATCGGCCAAATTTTCTTATCAGGCCGATACCGATAACAGAAAAAATGAGCCGATATGGGCCGATACCGATATGGTGGCCGATATATCGTGCATCCCTAATAAATGGACATGAAACTCGTTTGATATACTGTTTAGTATGGAAATTGGCATATTTGGGCAAATAGGTCTTCTCAAATCGGCATGGAATTAAAAATTAAACTATTTTTCCAAATGGATATTATTGTAGGTGACTTTTTCATGTGTAGGATTTTTTTTTCTTTATCTTTTTCAATTTGACTGTATAATTCTAAATCAAAATGTCATAACTAGACATTCCGTTAAAAACGACAGACTTATCTCTGTTGCTGTAAGCAGGTCTTCACCAATCATTTTGTCCGCTAAAATCCTGCCTCCGACCTTTTGTGTGCAATGCCCACATCTGAACATCCAATCATCATCTAATTCATAGAACCAATTCCCGTCCTACATTGTTTTTCTGATAATCCATTACATTCAAATGTACAACCTAAAACAGAAGAAACGATTTGTTGTCGCTACTTCCGCTTCATTGCAACTGTAAGCATCACGTTGTGTTTCCCCCAAAATGACAGCAAAGTTGATTCATCGTTCTTCCTCCAATTTGTCTCCAATATGAGTCGCTTGATTCATTCATGGAACAAAAACACAACTAGAGCTTTCCAGCTGCTTTTTATAGTTTGTGTATTTGCTAACCAAACAATTCTTCAAAGCTGAGTCTGACTGCAAACAACAGCTGACGTTGCCAGACAGTCTTTAGTTTCCGTGTTCAAAGTCCATTGTCTTATTTAATGCTTGGCAGCTAATTAAGTCCTTTGAGAGATGTTTTGCTGTTTCAGACTAACAAAAATGTGTGAAAATGTTTGTTAGTAGTTGTGGAGATTAAACTAAACATTGTCTTGGATCGTCACTTGACCGATTGTTTCAAAGGATAATAATAATGATTCAAAAGGTACTTTTTAAAACTACCTTTATTTAGTCATCTATGATTCAGTATTTAGTCAACTTCCTACTTTACTTGACTTGGCACCACTTTTATATCATCATGTGTGTCAGGTCTTTTATCAAACTTTATTCGCTGTTTGAAATTGCTGATATATTCAGGCCGTGCTCGGATAACAGTTGGTATTATCAGTGTGTTTTTAGCTCTTCATTCACACAGAATGGCACGGAAAGGAAGGGAGTCTGTCTCATTCTCTGGCCCGGCTGGCTCCAAGCAGTACTCGTTATTACCACAGGTGACAGTACAGCCGTTCAGCCGCTGCCAGCCAATGACAGCGACCGTGATGTCATGCTGACCTCTCAGAATGACTCCATTGAGACAGCAGGCTTTAGTACAGCTGGTGACCCATCCGCTCAAACCGTGTCACTGACAGCATGCCGATAAGGAGGGGCTTTCATTCAAAACTCCTTCGCTTGTTTTCTTGGGCCCGTGTGAATGGTTCAGCAATCTGTACCAGGGATGTATTCTGTACCTCTGCAGAAGAGGTCATCTTTTAAAGAAAGTTTGCGTTAAAATAGTAGCTTATCAGTGGTCTTGAGCTCATATTTAGTTTCTGAGTAATGTGGACTATCAATATTGAGAGCAGATGACATGAGTGTTTACTAAAGGAATGGCAGCTTTGAATCTCTCAATGTGTTACTTGACTGTTTTGTAAGAGTTTGACAACGTATTGTAAATATTGTATTTTAAACACTAGTAAGCTGCTTACATAGAGCAGCATTTTAAGGCACCATTGGGAATGTTTCAAACTCAATTATGCCGCCCTCTAAGCAATCCCTGCACGGTTCCCACGGGTTCTTAAAAAGTTTTACATTTAGTTGTCAAATTGATCAAATTTAAGGCCATAAAACGTCTTAAATTGTACAAGAAAGTCTTAATTATGATTTCAGGAGGTCTTAAATTTGGGGCGGAAAGACCAGAATTGTGATGTGGCTTAATATTGACGATTAAACTTCAAAAGGCTATGATTTCATTGAATATGAGCACTGCACGTTTCAAAGTCCCGTGCTGCACGGCTTTGTGTTCTGCCGTTACCGGGGAAACTGTTCTATTTCTGCCGTTCCGAAAGCGCCTCCTGCTGGCAGAGAATGAATGTGCATTTTCAATAAGCCTGTTGGAGGCTGCAGTTTCAGCACCGCATTTCTAGGACCCTTGGATTTCTAGTTCACCCAAAAATGAAAATTAGGCTGTGTTTCACTCACCCCCGAGGCATCCTAGGTGTATATGACTTTCTTCTTTCAGACAAATCCAGTCGGAGTTATATAAAAAATTGTCCCAGCCAGTGTTCGAACTATACCGTGGTCTTTGGGGGAGCCCACTTGTTTTTTGTTTTTTTTCATATAAAGGGAGGGGGGGGGGCTTACAATGACTTATACTTGTAATTTAGCTGTTATGTATCTTTGTATGCACTACTTGCTTTATGCAAGCACTATATAGGATAAATCACTATACAGGATTTACCCTATTATACTTTATCGACACAAATTGATAGGTGAAACAACAAACAAGCCACCCACAAATGGTCTATAAACAAAGCATCAGGCTGTCTTTGAGTTCACATGAACAACGGTTAAAGTTACTCGTCGTCAGGCTACAGAAGAATACCATATAATTCCTATGTTCAATTAGGCCTAAGACATCGAGAGTCACACAGACTTATAACAACCCAGCCACAACACATAATTGCGAACAACATGCCTTACCTTAACACAGAATCGACCACAAAGTCTAGCGTTTATATTTTTTCTACGAATCTTTGAGTTAACATGTACTAAACATGAGTGGAATTTGCACCGCAGCGCCCCCACACCTTGATGCTCATGACAAGAATAGCATGTATTGTTATCTTTATTGAAGTTAATTAGGTTTAAATCGCCGTCATGCTTGAATGAATTATATTTTTGCAATTTTACACACAATAATCCACGATGATCACATTACACAAAACTGAAATTGCACGTCAAAATAACACTTTACTGTAGCTTGCGCCAACAGTTGTACACGGAAGCAGCTCCGGGAGGATGATGTATGAGGTCGGCGTTGCACATGCGCCGGTGAGGCTCGTGAGAACTCAACGTTTGTTAACAGGAGCAAAGGAAGCAAAGTTTCCATACTTTAGCAAAGGAAAACCAGTCTCCTCTTGGCTTATATCGAAATCCTCTGACATTCTTCTTTACAAATCCTCGTTTTGTACTTCTAATTAGTGAGCGTTGTTTTGTTTTGATCTCTCCGCTGCGCTTCCGCGTGTATCACTTCTGAGCGGCGCATGCGCAAAGCCGACCTCATACGTCATCCGCCCGGAACTGCTTCCGTTTACAACAGTGAGCGCAAGCTAGATTAAATGTGTGTTGCTTATTTCACTTATTTTGGACTGAAGCACTGCAACACCTGCTGACTGCAATGATAGAGCTTGGAATAGCCAGGACAATTTTTTTATATAACTCCGACTGGATTCGTTTGTGGGGAAAAAAGCAGCACTGTTTTATCATACTAGATACATTTGAAAGTTCAGTTATAATGCTACTCTGTGCGGTCATCACCGGTCTATTAAAGCACACAACATATTAAAGCATCTTTGGTGTTTCCATGTTTTGTACAAAACAAAACCGGAAATTGAGAGGTTATGACGTCATTAGCAGGCGACACAATGACATTATGGGCAAAATATATAACACTGTTCTAATGGTTTTTGGATATTTTAATAAAAAAATCTTACATATCGTGCCTTTTAAAGGCTGAAATGTTAAGTGTATCATTTTATAAAACTTTTTGTTTTTGTGAAATCTTGTATCTGAACTGTAAATCATGCTTTTTACTGTCATTTTACGGTTTAATATGTTACTATAGACATTGCCCTACCCCGCTCATTGATTTTATTTGTGCAGGTCTTAAAGGTCTTAAAAAGTCTGAAATTTTAGCTTCAAAATCCTGCAGAAACCCTTCCCTGTGTATACAATATAGTATTGAAGTATTGATATAAAAATAATTCATTCATTAATGTCCCATTTATTCCCATTCAGTTCTCCTATAGGATTTTGAAAAGTATTTGTTAAAGAGTTAGAAGCCATGAACCAAACCTATTACAAGAATATGAATTTGTTGAAAACATAGAAACCACAAAAGGGATAATCTGTTCAGTAGTAGCTAAAAATATAGTATTTTGCATAGATCATTTTCATATAATAAATGGACATTATTATACGTTTTTAGTATATTTTACCTGTATTTTTTTTTCTCAAATCATAACACCATTGCCCCATTTCATGTACACTACCATTCAAAAGTTTGGGGTCAGACAGCGTTGTTTTTTTTGGTAATATAAGAAATTAAAATGTTTAAAATGTTTTTTGTTATATATATATATATTTATATATTATACACGCATATGAATTCCTATATTCCTTTAGATTTATGTTTTTAAAGATTTATCATTGAAAAACACTTAGTTGTCGTTAAAAAATGAGTTAAGCAGCTCTCACTTGCAACAGCCCCATGAAATCTTCTTTAGTAGTCTTCAAAATGTCTGAATAGGTCATATTTGTGTCGTCCTCTGCATCAGGATGTTGTCCAGGCTGAGCGAGTGGTTCTGGAATGAGAGGCTGTGGTTTCCAGAAGGCCTGGGTTGGGCCAACTTGGAGGGTAGTGACGGTCTCACCTACGCCAAGGCAGCTGACCTCTGGGTGACCCTGCCCATCGCCCTCGTCTTCCTCATTATACGACAGATCTTTGAGAGGTCAGCGTGAAACCTACTGAGCATATTAGCTCATTAGTGTTTTATGAGGTTATCACCAATGTCAATATTGTATTTGCAACATATGGTATATGCAATTTGACTTTTTATCAAAAGTGTCACATGTAAACATGTGCTGTTCATCTAGTGAGAAAGCTGTTTAAAAAGTGTCAGTGTCACGTTTAGTGGTCATTTTTATTTGAATTTTTTTAAAACATAGAAAGCACAGCATTAAAGATATTATCTGTCCAGCAGTAGCTAAAAATTATTTTGCATGTATAATTTTCATATAATAAATGAACGCTTTTAGCATATTTTACTTGTATAATAAAATATGATCAAATTTAATCTGTCTGGACCTATCCAGTAATCAATCTGAATTATGTTTTACATTAAGTGCTCAAGCAATGCAAAAACATAGGAGCACAATCTTTGAATGATCAATGTTTTAAATATGGTTAACATTGATGCAGTGTTGTCAGTTTTTCCAACTCAAGTTGAAAGTTTAATACTGTTTTTCAAATTTAGGACAGTGGCCATTCAAATGGCCGCGGCTTTGGGTGTAAAGGAGAAAGTCAGAGTGCGAGTGGAGCACAACCCCATGCTGGAGTCGTTCTTCAGAATCTCAAATAAAACTCCCAAACAGGTATAATTACGCATATTCTACACTGCCAAACTCAACAGTACAGTAAAACCCTATTTATTTGTACTTTTTGTGTTTCCTCATTTATAAGCTGCTTTAGATTGTGTCTGTATTATGAATGTAAATGTATGCAGCAAGTCAGTTTTTGCTATCTTGTGTATATAAACACACATTTTATTGCTGAATTGTTTCAGTACACTCGTGAGTGACATATGTAACTCATACCCTTTAAATCATATCTCACCATTAAATGACCCTTCATATTCTCTGTTACTCTACAGTGTGAAATCGAGAGTTTAGGTAAAAAGACCGGTTACTCCGAAAGACAGATCCACAGATGGTTTAGGCAACGAAGGAATCAAGAGCGACCAAACAAGCTGAAGAAGTTCAAAGAGGCCAGGTACAGAACAATACGCACAGGCTGTTCGATCCCCATTTCCATCCTTTCGTAAATGGCCATAAATTCCACCATGCTGCATATTTTATAAGCTTGCTCAATGTCATAAACATTATAAAATGATTAAAGGGTTAGTTCACCCAAAAATGAAAATTCTGTCATTAATTACTCACCCTCATGTTGTTCCGAACCCGTAAGACCTTCGTTCATCTTCGGAACAAAATTTAAGATATTTTTGATGAAATCTGATGGCTCTCTGACCCTCCCATAGACAGCAAGGTAACTACCACGTTCAAGGTCCAGAAAAGTACCAAGATGATCGACAAAGTAGTCTGTGTAACATCAGTGTTTCAACTGTAAAGTTACGAAGCTACAATAATACTTTTTTTGCACAAAGAAAACAAAAATAACGACTTTATTCCACATTTTCATTTCTACTGCGTCACTTTGGACACCCGTTCACGACAGTATCTTTAATATATATTTAAAATGTGTAATAAAGTCATTATTTTTGTTTTCTTTGCGTTTCGAACAACACGAGGGTGAGTAATTCATGACAGAATTTTCATTTTTGGGTGAACTAACCCTTTAAGTAACAGTGCACACTGATAACCTGAGTATTGAGTGGTACAACATGCAATTATACACAGAATTCACTGTAAAACAGAAAAAAACCCATCAATTTTTCATTAGGTAGGAAGGCTATTGCACACAGGAGAAACGGTATGGGGTATTAATAAACACAAAATTTGGCTACTGTACCCATTTATAAAATAAATTCACTGTGTTTACTAACTGTGGGTTGGTCCTTTAATATCTTGTCCTTGACATTTCAACATTTATTTGTCTTGTGCTTCAGAACCACATCCAATATATGTAATTAAAGGAATGCACAGGGTTCAATACAAAGTTAAGGTTCATCCCAATCATTTGGGGTAATGTTGATTACCTTTTAAAGGAATAATCACCCAAAAATGAAAATTTGAAATAATGATGAGAATGTACTCACCCTCAGGCCATCTGAGCTGTAGATGAGTTTGTTTCTTCATCAGAACAGATTTGGAGAAATTACATCACTTGCTCACCAATGGATCCTCTGCAGTGAATGGGTGCCGTCAGAATGAGAGTCCAAACAGCTGATAAAAACATCACAATAATCCACAAGTATTCCACATGGATCCAGTCTATCAGTTAATATCTTGTGATGAGAAGAGCTGCATGTTTGTATGAAACAAATCCATCAAGATGTTTTAACTTTTTTAAACCTTCGCTTTCTAGCCAAAATACGGTCCATAATCCATAACGCTTTCTCCAGTGAAAGAGTCCGTCCTCTGTTGGCCTCTCGTATCAAAATCCACCTGTTTTGGACTGTTTTAGTTTGTAAACCGTGCTTGATGTGGAGAAAGCAGTAGTATGGATAAAAGCCTTTTATTTTAGCCAGAAACAACAGTTTGAAGTTGAATATGTCATAATGATGGATTGTTTATAACAAATGCAAGATGTTAAAGGGTTAGTTCACCCCAAAATGTAATCTCTGTCATTAATTACTCACCCTCATGTCGTTCCAAACCCGTAAGACCTTTGTTGATCTTCGGAACACAAATTAAGATATTTTTGATGAAATGTGAGCGCTCTCAGACCCTGCATAGACAGCAACGTAACTGTAATGTTCCCAGGTCCAGAAAAGTAGTAGGACATCGGTAAAACAGTTCATGTGACATCAGTGGCTCAACTTCAGTTTTGCGAAGCTACGGGAACACTTTTTGAGTGCAAAGAAAACAAAAATAACAATTTATTTCGCAGTTCTTCTCCCCCGAGTTACGTCTTCTGCCATTTTGTCGAGTACCCAAGAGTGCAATCGACGTAATCAGCAAACATTTCAGTTGCGTTGCTGTCTATGGAGGGTCTGAGAGCTCTCAGATTTGATCAAAAATATCTTAATTTGTGTTCTGAAGAAGAACGAAGGTCTTACGGGTTTGGAACGACATGAGGGTGAGTAATAATGACAGAATTTTCATTTTTGGGTGAACTATCCCTTTAATTGATGGACTGGAGCCATGTAGATTACTTGTGGATTATTGTGATGTTTTTATCAGCTGTTTGGACTCTCATTCTGTCAGCATCATAGACTGTATATGGTCAGCATGCGTGCCGAAGGGGAAACAGGGGAACTGAATTCACCGGAACACCGGCATTGTAGGCTACTCTCCCAGGAAACCGTCCTCATCCTCCGTAAAATGCGTTGCACACATCTGAATATTTGGTTTGAATTGTTCTGGAACAGTGTTGTAAATACAACTTAACCACTGATTTCTAGTTGTGTTCTCTTTTGGAAGACCAAACAAAGTAGTTTTGGCTTTCACAACGAAACACACAACGTCTCCACGACATGGTGGCGGCGGCAACAATACTACAGCGAGAATCAAAGTTACACCGCCTTTCTTTGCGTATACATTTGGCAGGCGTTATGCAAATCTTCCCACACAGTGACGTAGACATGTGGGGCGTGTTTGAACGAGGCGTTTTAGGGGGGCGTGGATGAGTCTTAACATTTATAAAGAAAATCTCTTTGGGTTTGAGACTTTAGTCTTTGCAACTTTAGGTATCTTATCTATTCACGAACCGCTTGTAACACTCCAAAGAGAAAGGAAAACTTGAAATCACATCATATGACCCCTTTAACATAAATACAAGCTTCATATTTCAAAAGTGCATGACCCAGTTTACTTGTAAGTGCACAACTGTAACTGCATCTTTTATTGTCTGTGGTAATGTACATTATGCCACAAATGCTTGTCAATAGAACTTAACTTGTATTGAGCCTGGAACATCCTTTAAATTAGTTTATCATGCCATCTCCAGCTGTCATTCACAACAGTAGCTTGTAGATGCTTTAAATACAGTTGTTGGGGTTGTTGGTCGTTATGTGGGCTTGTAATGGTAGTGTTTGTGTTGTGAGTGGACTGTATCAGTGTTGTTATGCCTGTACATTTTGTCACTGTGTGTAGTAACTTAATAATGTAAAAATAAGTCTAGACCCTTAAAATGAATGGCTGGTGATCAAGTAATGTTTTGGAACCATTTGGACCAAAATGTCATTTGTTCATATGAGAGATGCTTGGCTTTATATATTATGTTGCTGATGAATGTATTTGCTTCTGGATATTATTTGCTGAAATGTATATGCATTTTCTTACAGTTGGAGATTTACCTTTTACCTTCTTGCTTTCATTGCTGGCCTTGCTGCACTTATTGATGTGAGTATTTCAAATGCGTCTCTCTTTCTCTTCAGTCGCATATACATGTATATCGATGATTGGCCATTTTGAGTTTATTGGCATGAACTAAAACCTGCTTTGTTTAATATTTATTTATTTATTTCCTATAATATCGGCCTCATTAATCAGCTGATGTGTGTGGTCATTATGAAACCGCTTCCTCTTGGATGGTTGACACGAGTGTCATTCCCAAAAACTGCTGTTATATTTGTCCAGGGATAATGGACATTTTTTTTGGTTTCAAATATTTGATTGCACTTTGAATAAATATAATGTAATTCAGAATTTACTCAGATATTTGAAGATTTCCCTTTTTATCCATAAATTTAATTTGATCAATATTGTGTACACCTTGTTTGCTCAAATTTAATTTATATCATATTTATGTTCATAAATAGATGCGTATAGATGCAAAATTGGACAAACCTACTTAAAAAAAAACATTAAATAAATAAAATGTCTCGTAAATGTTTGACTAATCCATTTTAGAGTTTTTATCCAAAGCAAATTTTATTTTTAAATTCCTCTTTTATACCATTTTAGCTTGTTATTCACCATGAGAATAGCCAAGGAAGCTGGTATGGCATTAATCCACCAACCAAACATTTGTCTGGTGCTTTATCTTTCATTATATCAGCTATCGGCCAACCTGCTCTATGGATTTTGACACTGGCTGTTCAAATACATACTGGTGGACCACTGCCCCTCATGTTTATAACTCATATAATGTCATACTTGTGCAGTGCTTTTGTTGAGATTAAATGTGAGAGTGCTTTTGTCTTGGCTCATATTCTCTTAATATTGTTTTTGTTCTGCAGAAACCTTGGCTCTACAAAATGGAGGAGATGTGGACGGGGTTTCCAATGCTGGTACGTTCACTTCTTTCATTCTTCTATTGACTGGCTATAAAAATGTGTCTTAACATTACAATGATCTTTCAGTGAACGTTCATATTGATAAGCTTATGTAAATAAGTTTTAACAAGGAGAATTGTAGAAACACTACTGTATCTTAACCACATCTCTGTTGTTGTTAGTGACACTGAAACGGCATCTTTCGACATATTTGATTCATTGCTTTATTTTTCTCTTTCTCTCTCCAGACGCTGCTGCCTTCTCAGTTCTGGTACTACATGATTGAACTAGGCTTTTACATGTCGCTCCTCTTCAGCGTCGCATCAGACATCAAGCGAAAAGTGAGTGAGTCAAACACAATAAACTTAAAACCCTACCTAAACTTAAAAGATCCATCTTTTTCATAGAAATACCCACTATTCAGTAGTTTTTAGTATTCGTATCACAGAGGTGTACAAGGAAGGACTTCCAAGAAATCCAGCTTAGATGTGGAATGTTACCTGCTGTGTTCGTGTGTCCGCGAATTTGATGATCGTTAATATTTGACTTGCGCATCTATTGAAAATCTCTTATCTCACAGAGCCCTTTGTTAATCACATAAATTTGATATAGTCTGTTTCCAGCACATGGAACACTAGCCATTCCACAAAGCATTAGTGAACAGTAAAAGTACAGCAGGATTAGGCTTATCAGCAGTTTTACATCACTTGTCCAATGGTTTATTAGAAGCCCTGCTGAAAAAACAGCCTAAGATGGTTTTAGACACTTTTCAGGCCAGCTTCTAACCAACCGGGCAAATAAAGCTTCATAACTGAGCTGAATGAGGATGATACATTAATAAGTTTGAGGGAACATTTGAGAGCCCAATAAGATAATTTATCCACACAAAACCTATTTACACTTGATTTGTGCATTAAATCGAGCTTCATCCAACATGAGAAAAAACAAAATCACCTGCCTGACATATTAAAATGCAACAGATCAAAAGTCACCTGGCGATATTGTCCCACACTGAATTTTAATTGGTCACATATTTTAAGTTATGTTTTGATTAATCAGTCACCTAGTCTATGTGTACATCCTGAACTTTGACTCTAAAGCTTTGGCAATATAGTACTAATATTCCCCAATAAAGCATGTGAAATCCAAATTCAGTCCCTTACGTTTGTACGGAAAAGACTAGAAAGTATGTGCAAAAGCTATGCTTTCTAAGATACTGTTGTAGCTTGCCAAAATAAGCATAATCTAACAATGCAACACTGTTTAGAAGGTTGTATGAATTTGAGTTATTTGTTTGTTTGTGAAGAAATGCAATGATTTGGTGATGGTAATGAAATCCAATTATGGTGATGGTTAATCCAATAAATGCAGTCTTGGTGAGCATGAGAGACTTCTTTCATAAGCATAAAAAAAAAATGTATCGACCCCAATCTTTTGATCAATAGTGTACCATATTACTGAAGAAGTACTATATTTGTTATTTACATGGTACTTCTAATAAACTATGGCAGTACTACAAAAGTCAAAAACCATTAAGATAATCGTTCTCTCTCCTTCAGGATTTTAAAGAACAAATAGTGCACCACGTTGCCACCATCCTGCTGATTAGTTTCTCCTGGTGTGTGAACTACATCAGAGCAGGAACCCTCATTATGCTGGTGCACGACGCCGCCGACTATCTGCTGGAGGTAATTGAACATCTGAAGAACATTAGCGTTCAGACTGTGTCCCTGGAGCTTCAGTACAAGTAGAAAATGTTTTTCAATCGCCACTTTCTTGCATGTTAAGTGAAAGCCACACATCAGTTTGTTTAATAGAATGCTACATGGAATAGTTTTCTCTGAGGAGCCTGTGTAAAATTGTGTTTCACAGACATAATTTGCGTTTTGTGTTTTTCTTCAAAATCTCTGTGAAAATTGTGGTGAACATATAATTATCACGTAGGTCTTATTTACATATTTGGCTTTTGCGACATCCACATCCAGATGACACACACTCACAGTCCTGTCCAGTGCATGATTTCACAGGCATTCTATATGAACAATTGTAATATCGCTCTTGTCAATGGCAAAATTAATTCAGTACATCTTCTTTAGTATATACAGTAGTCAGGGTTATTAATGCAGGTGTGTAACACTGCCTCCTAGTGGTGCTTTTGTGCAATACTCAAAGACGTATGTCCCATCTCTGTCTGTCCCAACAGTCTGCCAAAATGTTTAACTACGCCGGCTGGAGAAAAGCATGCAACTACATATTCATCCTATTTGCTGTCGTCTTCATGATCACCAGACTGGTCATCTTTCCATTTTGGTGAGTTGGGAAATTTTCTATTTTGATCCCAAGGTTTATTATTAAACCTATAAATCATGCATTTCTCTTGACCCACTGTCTGTATTTGTCAAGAGATATGAAATGATTTCCTTCTATAATATCAAATGAAAGCTCTGTAAATAGTCATTTGTGCCTGTCTCAAAGTTCTGTTGAAATGTCATTTTTTTAAATAATTCTATAAACATTTGTGAAAATGACCTCTATATGCCTTTTTCTCTTCATTGCTGGGTAAATGTCAGATGTAAAACTCACGCTTTCTCTCTTTTCTGTGTCTCTCAGGATTTTGCACTGTACCTGGGTGTATCCAGTGACTGTTTATCCTCCGTTCTTTGGGTATTACTTCTTTAATGGGCTGCTGTTTGTGCTGCAGTGTCTGCACATCTTCTGGGCCGTACTCATCCTACGTATGGCCGTCAAATTCTTGCCAGGCAATGTAAGTCAACCAACACAGACTCCACTACATTGGATATTTTGTTTTGGCATTTCACGCACTATAGTTCTGTAACGACGACTGCTGGTTTCAAACCCAGAAGATAAAAATAGCCTCCCAAAAATCCCATACAATTATATTTTTCTCTTAAAATTATAAATATTGGATGCTAACATTGTCTTCTATCATGTACAAAATGCACATACACTACCGTTCAAATATTTGGAGTCACATATTTTTATTTTATTTTTAAATAAATTAATATTTTTATTCAGAAAGGATGCATTTAATTGATCAAAGGTGACAGTAAAGATATTTATAATGTTACAAAACATTTTCAACACTGATAATAAAGAAAAAAAAATTCTTGAGCACCAGATCAGCATATTAGAATGATTTTGGAAGGATCATGGGAAGACTGGAGTAATTCAGCTTTATCTTCACAGGAGTAAATTACATTTTAAAATGTTCAAATAAACAAAAGATATTTAGCAGATTGTCCAAGCTGCTCTTCACCGTAAAATGAAAGTAAATGGTGACCTGATTCTTGCTTCCCATCCAATTAATTCTACGAAACAGTGCAGCTTGGACATTCTTCAAAATTTCTCCTTTTGGGTTTCACAAGAAAGGAAAGTCCTGTTGGTTTGGAACTACATGACAATGAGTAAATGATGAGAGAACTGTGTGAACTGCCCTTTTAAGTAATTCAGGCAAAAATAATTGCATAAAATTGCAAGAAATATGAATTGTGGGGATTTTGAAGCTTCATCACCGCTCATTTGTCATGCCACAGAATATTGTGGAGGACGAGAGGAGTGACAGAGAAGAAACAGACTCTGAGGACGACGTGAAAGAGCAGGAGGACAGGAAAGTGCCAATGAAAAATGGACCAGTGCAGAACGGCCACTCTCCTCTAAACAACAACCATCACCGCAAGACTGAGTGATACTAGCAGAGACGAGAGAGGAGGTACAACACTCCACTTCCTGTACACACGGACGAGACCAAAAAAACTAATGCCGGGGGTGTTTGATGGATTGAAAAGGCCTAGAGCAAACGCACACACAATACATGTAGATACATATGTTACTCATTTTTGGAAACGGACATCATTCGAAAAGGAGGAATGATATAACGTCTTTCCCCTTGCAAACTATTTAAAACACTATTAACAGGCACCATATCATTAAATAACCCTTGTGTTTGTTCAGGGTCTGTTATAGATTGTCTAATGTTAGTAAATCCAACGTTCACTTGCTTTACTGGTAATATTTCCTCCAATTTATTACTTGTTTAGTGCCTTATTAGTACAGAGTTGTACTGCTGTTCATACATTTCTTTTCCTTTTTATATTTTGGGCATCACACGCACACTATTATCCTCCCTTGTCAGTAATGAGATTTTGCATGCTTTGTCTGGTCAACTGTCAGATTTCCCAGAATCCCTCAGTATTTGAGTTCTGAAGTTGCCGGAAACTGACTGGAATTTAGTTTTTTGTCTCCCATTTGTTCACTATGTAATAACAGTCTCACCAAGTGACCTTCACACACCTGCTTTTCTTAGAAAACACACATGACCTTCATCGGAGGTGTGTTTACACTGCCGAGGGTCTTCCTCGCTGATCTTTCCACAATCCAGTTGCACTAATATAGGTTACTGATCCAGTCTTGCAACACTACCACCATATAGAGACGCAAAAACTCATGATTTGTATTGCCATGATATCCCATCCCATAGGCGCTCAATCACTGTGCTGCTTTTTACATTTAACATTTGTCTGTTGAGTTTGTAATGAAGCAACAAATGTGTGTGTGAAAGAATCTCTCATATCTAATATTTGTTTTGGTCGGTGCGTGTCCTGTAACACATTTCTGTTAAAAAATGCATTCTTAAATTTTTATTTTTTTTTGTATTTTTTTTTTTTTTCAGGGTTTTCATTTAAGATTATTTTTATTTAAGGTCCAGTTACTTTCAGCAAACCTGATAAGCTGATAATTTAAGCAGTATGTAAAAGAAATGACACTAAAAAGCAAAAAACAAACTACGTGGCAGGAGAAGCTGTAGTTGATGTTTTCCTCCATTTAAATGATGAATAATTACAATAAGAATCAGTATTGAGTGCTAGATGCACTTTGTAACTCTCCGTCTAATGTAAAATGCATTATAATGATTGTGTTGTTAGCAAACTCTTTGACATAATTGATACTCTGGCTTGCATTTGTGGTATTTATGAGAAATGGATTCCATAGTTTTCAAAAAAAAAAAAAATTTGAGTTGGAATTGATCCAGTATGTACTGTTTGCCCAGTAGCTGCTGCTTTACATGAGATCATTTTAAACCTTAAAGGGACAGTTGACCCAAAAATTAACATTGTCATTATCACTCACGCTCATGTTGCTCGAAAACCTGACTGACTTTTCTTCTGTGGACAACAAAAGAAGATATTTTGAAGAAATATGGTGTGCAAACAACATTGGACCCCATTGACTTTAATTGCATGGATGAAACCGAAGAAGAAAGTCGTACAGGTTTGGAATGACATGAGGGTGAATAAATGATGACAGCATGTTAATTTTTAGGTGAACTGACCCTTTAAGTGTCATAATCAATAGAAAAGGTCAGCTATATCATCTTTCATCATGATCTCTTATTATAATTTTAGCAACGGGTTTACAAAATTTGGTCCAGTATTTGTTTTGTTAATATATGAAAGTCAGTGTCAATACAGGTGCTCAGCGTGTAATGCATTTTGCAAGTGGAACGGGACATCTGGATTGACTGTACGGAGTTATTTTAAGTTTCAAAATGTTGTCACAAGTGCCTTATTTGTGCCTTAAATGTGTATTTGTGTCGTTTCTATGTGTGCTTGTTGTTCTTGTGCTCCTCCCCTCATCGCCTTTAGATTTTAAGCTGAAGCATCCTCCTCTCTTTCACTCCTTCTCTGTTTACATCCATTCAACCTCATCTCTCCTCACGGCCCGGTGCCAAGACCAATTCTTCCCCCTCACCGCGTCCTGTCGACTGGGTCCACCGCACAAACATAAACTATTTGATCAGTGTCCCAATTGCCAGTGTTTTATGTTGTATCTTGTATCATCATTATTCAATGATGAAAGATAAAGATTTCTGTGGAGGACAGTGTTCTTTGTCTGTTTTTTTGAATAGTTTATATTTGAAACGTATATATTTGAAAAACATCTTGTGCTCCTCACAGCTGCATTTATTTGATGGGAAAAGACCGTAAAAACAGTAATATTGTAAAACGGTAACTGTTTTATTATATTTTAAAATGTAATTTATTCCTGTGATGCAAAGCTGGCGTGTGTGTCTATCTGTTCAGAATCACAGTTTTAAGTGAGAAAGAAAGACTTGGTGTTCATTTTAATTTACTTTGCTTTAAGTTTATTAAAAAGCAATTTACTAAAATGCCTAATATTTAGAGATTCTAGAGATCTTTTTATGTTGTTAAATATATTTAGAAACAAAGTTACAAAGTAAATCCACTTTCTGGAAAGTATGTTCATTTACTGTACATGTACTCCATACAACTTTTCCACGACATTCTAGTTTATTTAGATGCACCTGTATAATGTTATATAACATGCCTTATCTTTGCGACAAAGCTTCCATATAAGTGGTCTATCTATCTATATATAATAGTTATATTTTATTGTATATTAGAGTATAATATTTATATTATATAAGCAGCAATAACTTTCAGCATGTATGATAATGTTTCTTGAGCAGCAAATTAGCATATTTGAATGATTTCTGAAGGATAATTTGATGCTTTTAATATTTCACAATATTACAGTTTTTACAGTTTTTTACATCAAATAAACACGGCCTGGGTGAGCATAAGAGACTATATAATCATTTTCAATCATATTTTTGGTTATCTTATTAATAATGAGTTGATGAGAACTAAATTAAGTGAATTAATACATAGATATATAATATACATTTTACATTTTTTAAAAAATCTGTATTACTGTTCTTTGTCAGGAAAACCATAAGCAATAGACTGTATTTCAATTTCTCCATATCTTTTTCTTGTAATGTTGCATATGTGGTTTTTATGACTAAAACCTTTTGTCAATAATACATGTGTAACTAAAAATATTGCAATAACCATCTACAATCTCACCTTTAGTTTAGTCTCTGCTTTAATTTCACAAAGTCTTAATATTTAAAGTTAAAGTTTTTATATACACACACACATGCATGTATATTCTGTGGAATGTAATATTAATATATGAGCAAGTAATGATAAATAATTACATGTTTTAATGTTATGTTACAGTGCATGTTATTTATTTTTATCAAGTCTACCTGAAATGAGAATAGTTGTGCATTAACTAAGCTTTATTCAGTTACCCTAATGAAATCTATCTAGGATTGTTCATTATTTATAAGAGCTTTTGGAAATCACCCATCTCTCTACTCAACTATTCCATCCTGCTTCCTGCTTTCCCCCTCCGAGTGTAGAAACTATCAGCTAACTGCTAACTGGAGAGGATGATATCTTTACTACATCACCTCGCTCTTTTCTTGTTCTTGCTGTTGTCTGGCCTGGCAGCCAATCAAATTAAAGCTATCGCCTCCCTGCATTGACTCAATTTCCCCTCACGCTGCCCCTGGTGGTGAACTTAATTGCAGTTGCGTATTGCCTTTCTGTTCTTCTGCTCTCTCCTTCCTGTCCTCCGTCATGTTCCACTTTGTTCTTCCTTCTCCTTTCCCTTGGTGTGACGTGCGGGAGTCTACCTTTTTGGCCTGAGGCCTGCTTGAGTTACAGAGCACGGGTGACTGGACCACAGCCCTCGGTAACGGGCACAGCCAGGCTCCACACAACGTCATTCAACTCCTGTTAAACTATTCATAACGGCTTGGGTGCCAGGAGGAGGCCGCAAATATGCAAACGCTCTGTTTGATGGAGGTGGACCGAGCGAACTCGAGGAACAGAGAAGTTTGACTGAAAGATTATCAGAGGGAGAGCAGAGATGTGTATCATGTAGAGGTTAGCATGGGTAACAAGATGTAGCCAGAGGTCTACGAGAGGTAAAAGAGAAAACGATGGATGTGCAGAGATGAAGAAGTCCACAGGATGGAAATGAAAGATGTTTAGACAACATATGAAACAATGGTTGCTCCAAAACCTATTCAGCTCCCTACTTAGGAAACATTTACATTTCATTCAACTTTAATTCAACAGTTAGGCACCATAGGGTTTTCCATTATGTACTGTGATGAACACAGTGAAAAAATCCAAGATGATTCTCTTCAGTAAGTGTGAGAAATGTTCACTATACATACATTTCATTGTTACCAAAAATTAACTAATAAATATTGGATAATCTAATATAAAAGTGATTTATTAGCCACTTTATGCCACTTGATCCACATTGTTAGCTTAGCCAGATGTTTTATGTGTGCTTCATGTGAGGAGAGTGATTATGAAGAGTTGCTTGAGTTTCCCCAAATTTGTCACTTTTGAGGTTCCATATCAGTTATGCCGCCTTATTAATCGGTGCGGTTACATTAGGGAAATTTTGCTGGCAAAAAAAGGTAAATTTGCCAGTGTAGCGATGTATGAAGCAAGTCAATTTCAAACCAAGCAGTTTTCTGTTGGTCAACACAGCGAAACCAACTTGCAAAATCTTTGTGGGAAAATCATTTGGGTTCAAATTGGTCACATTCGGTGTGTTGGGCGAACAGAAAGCTTGGTTTGCCAGTAACTTTTCTGTGAGATATTCTTCATACAAAACTATTGACAACAGACAATATAACTAATGTAATGTATCTGCACCTTTAGAGGACAGCAAGGTTCCTTAGAACAGATGACGGGTAACAATATCTCACCCTTTAGCATGAATATTCCTTCCTCTTTTGTGTCTTAATGAATTAATGGAAACAGCCAGTCAATTTATTTATATTTCAGTTGATTCATAATTCATCATGCCTTAGTTAATTTGACATCAAATGTTGGCGGCAAATAATTAGTTACAAAGCCTGTATGATGTTACTGTTTCAGTTTAATAATGATGTTCATTTTTAATCGGGGTGATGTGGCTTCATACACCATAAGCAACCATTCTCGTATTCTGGGATCCAATTCACAAGGCCACACTGAAGATCTCCTGCCGCAAAAAAGAAACACTGAAACTGCGCTTTTGCCAGAGGGATTGCCGTTGTACACTGTCCCAGTTTCACCAAAGGATTTTGACTCAATTTCAAGGAAACAATAACACCGGTAGGATGGATAACATCTAAATTTCCTTGTAGGAGAACGATCTGTCATTGGCACAGACTATAACTAAAAGATCCGGTGGGTCTTTAATTGACTCTCAACACAAGCAATCTCTGGAGCAACGCACATCACAGATGGACCAGCCAGCGCCACCAGTATCATCATGGCTGGAAATCGATGTGGATTTGGGTTTTGCCCTCTTTTTTTCTCTTTCTTCTCTGCCTATTCTTGTTTGTTACCGTTGTGCGTTGCGCTCAAACAGTTGTGGATCCATACGGAGCCATTTCCACCTCCACCTATCAGGAAGAGCAGATAAATAACTGATATCTGATCTCGCCTGTCCAAAAGGATTTTATGAAACGTGTATTGTGTATTATGTAATGATGAACAGTTGTCGGATGACCTTAGTACATTTGTCACATGATATCATTACATCATTTCAAACATGAAATGAGGTCAGTGTTATGCCAGAAATGACAAAAATGCAGTCATATGCAGTTATGGCCAAATAATGTTCGAACAAGAAAATAGAAATGGTTTTTGAAGTTGTAAAGAAAACAAAGTTTATTGGAATACATTTTACAAGAAAATACTCTCCAATCTTTGTACTTCAAAATTTCACATTTAATTCAATGTGTTACTTGCAATTTTTTTGTGAAATTTACAAGCAATTTTTGAGTGAAAACAATGCCGGCTGTTCTGACTCACAGACTGTAAGTACGTTTTCATATTTAACAGATTTGCCACTGATGATTCAAACGCGAGTTTTGAGCAGTGTAGAGTAGGGCTTGTTGTTTGTCATTTCTCCGATCACAAATGCAGACAGAGTTTTATGTTTACGCGGCGCGATGCAACGCAATCTTGTAAAGACAGTACAAGTCATTATAATCAGTAAGCATGTCCCCACTGGATGCAACAAATACCTAGTTTACAATGGGTTTTAATGTTTTTGTCTCATCACTCCGGCCGGGACAAGGCAGCACAGTATGTGAGGGGCGTAACATTTCCGTCACACGCTTGAGGTATTCGGCCAATCACAACAACGCACTGGATAGCTGGCCAATCACAGCACACCTCGCTTTTCAGAACGATGAGCTTTGTAAAAATTTAGCGTTTCAGAAAGGCGGGGCATAGAGGAGAAACAATAATGTACAGTATGTGGAAAATGTTTTTTTTGTTTTTTACCTTAAACCGCATAAACACATTTCATTACACCAAATACACAAAATGTTATTTTTAGCAACATCATATGACCCCTTTAAATTTAAAAGAAATTATGCTTATTTTGAACAAAAAATAATAAAGGGATTTTGTTATGTTAATAATTACATTTGTACATTTGATCAAAAGTCTGATCATTCATTCATTCATTCATTTACTTAGCGGGGGAATATACTCAACTGACCTTACTAGTCGGTTACTAGACCTAAGACCTCATTTACTATAGCTAGTATACAGGAAAACATTGTCACGTGAGATGAGATTTCATTAGGCTCTATCGGATAATAACTTGCCTGTATAAGTGCCATGCTGCTGGTGACTTCCAGTGTCTGAATAGGGTTTCAGCTCTTCTGATAGGCAGGCATTGATCAAGCGGTCTCTCATACTGAGAGGTATTTCAGCCATTTGAGTAGCTACTAGAGATCTTTTGAATACTGCCAAAGCAGGACAGCCATTTTCAGTGGCTGCGTTAATAACCTGACCACAATGCACTTACTTGATGAAACAAATCTGGCCCATTTAACTCAGGTTGTTTTGAATAAATTCATTGATATGTGATAGAAATAATCAGACCAGAATAATAGGCCATTTTTTACCTGCCCAATGTATCGTGCTGAACATCCTCTTTTACATTTTGTAAACCCTGGGCTTGTAGCCAACAAGATCCTATCAG